TCACTTGCAACCCGTTTATCTATTGGGCTGTGCCCCATCTCAAGTCAGGCAGCACTGTACAACGTTCCTTCTAAAGGTGAGGAAGGGTTCCTTCTAAAGGTGATGATGGCTCTACACCGCGTAAGCAGGCTGAAAATTCACCAGGCAGAACCTCAAGCGAGCAAGCCATAGGGTTCAGAAAGCGTGATCTCACGGTGCGTAGCGGCAGTCAGCAGTGGATCTCCTGCAGAACAGAATCAGAGAACAGGCGTGCCTGGGGCGGTGCTCTGCGCCACAGTAGCTGCCGAGCATGCTCAACACCCTGGACTTGATATCAAACGCTGCGGAAAGGAAGACCTTGGAGTTTGGGCACACCTTTGATCCCAGCACTCGGGAGGCAGAAGCAGGCGGATCTCTGTGAGTTTGAGGCCAGCCTGGTCTACAGAGTGAGATCCAGGACAGCAAGGGCTACATAGAGAAACCCTGTCGAAAGAAAGAAAGAAAGAAAGAAAGAAAGAAAGAAAGAAAGAAAGAAAGAAAGAAAGAAAGAAAGAGAAAGGAAGGAAGGAAGGAAGGAAGGAAGAAAGAAAGAAAGAAAGAAAGAAAGGAAGAGAAAAAGGAAAAAAAGGAGGAGGAAGAGAAGGGGAGAAACAAGAATGAACAACAATGCCTCTGAACATGCTCCCTGTGTAGGAGACTGGAAGATTCCACTCTCCAAGAACCACCTTGGCATAAAGATCACTCTGAGCTGTTTATTTTGGGAATCAGGATGGAGGTGATCTTTTATACCAGGAAGAGAAGGGTGATTAAGTCTCAAGAGGGCTTCACAGGGGAGAGGGAAACCCAACATGAATTTGCACAGCAAACCTGTTTGCCTGGGCCTTTCCTGGTGACTTCTCGTAACTAACTCGCCTCTACGCCACTTCCCGTGTCCTCACTGGAAATGCTACAGAAGCAGCCATCTGAGCCCAAGAGTCACTGTTTTCTCTGGTTGCCTACCCACACGTGAGCTGCGTGCATTCCAGACTTCTCGTTTTCCTCCGTAGATCAGTCTTCCGTTACAGGAGCCCCAGCTGAAACAAGGAAGCAGGAGGAGGATGACCCCCGACCCCACCAGCTCCAGAGAGCTGACTTTCAGAACAACGTTGTCCATTCTGTCCCCTGTTCCTTCCAGACCTTCAGGCAGCCAGGCCTGGTGACAGGCGATTTAATGCTGGCATTTGGGAGAGAGAGGGAGGGAGGGAGAGGCAAGCCTCCGTCACTTACTAAAAGTGGAATCTAGATTTGGATGCACGAGATGGCGTGTCTCAGAAGGAAACAACAACAACAAAAAAAGGTTTTATTGAATGAAGGAAATAAACAGGGGTGGACAGGACTGCTTCTACCGTGGAGGGGAAAGTTTATTGTAGACGTGAGGGAGAGCACAGCCAGAGGCAGGGGCATCTGGGAGAGTCCAGAGTGGACTTGACCAGTCTCCGCTGTGCCGTGTGGGGAGAGGGAGAGAGGAGGGTGATGGGGGAGGTCCTCCTGTATGCTGTGAATATATGTTTCTCTTATTGGTTGATGAATAAATGCTGATTGGCCAGTAGCCAGGCAGGAAGTATTAGTGGGGTTACCAGACTAGGAGAATTCTTGGAAGAGGGAAGGCAGAGAGAGTGTGTCGCAAGGGAGACACCATGTAGCCACCGAAGGAGTAACATGCCTCGTGGTAATACATAGTTTAATAGAAATGGGTTAATAATTAAGACAGAGCTAGACAATAAGAAGCCTGAGCCATCAGCCAAACAGTTTATAATTAATATAAACCTCAGTGTATTTATTTGGGACTAAATGGCTGCAGGACCAAGCAGGACAGAAACTCCATCTTCAAGAAGGAAGAGGGAAGAACCAGGGGCAGCAGCCAGGAGACCACAGGTACAAAATGGGGGGGGGACCAAAATGGTTGCATTATATAGGAAGCCCATTTCCCTGGGCTGGAAAGTTCAGGATAGGGGCCAGGTATGCCAGGCATACCCTGTAGCAGGTAGCGCTGAGGAATGCTGGGAGAACCTGGCTGTCAGGGGTCTGTCCTGGTTTGAAACTTTTATCACACAAAGGTAATCTTTGGGGGACCCTCAGAAAATTCAGGATTGTGGTCAAGTCCTGACTGGAGTACTCTGTGAGGCTGGATCCGCTCAGCCAGCAGCCGTGAAGCTGTTCTGGATGCAGAATTCTGAGGAGACTGTAACAGGCATTTTGAGATGTTGGATCACCTGGGCTACCCATTCTCACTGGTGTCTGGTCCCCTTGCTCTGAAAACACACAAAGGTAGCATTCATGTATTCATTAATACAAGCATAAACGGTGCTTTGTATACAAGTCAGCCAAAGATGATATTTTTTAATGTGTTTGAGCCGGTAAAATACCCATCATGTGTCTTGTAGTTCTCCTAGGTTTATCTCTTTATGTCCATAGTCAGAATCAGGGCGCCTCCCTTGATCAGACCTGATTTTCTTTAAGTGGAATGAATGCACAGCATCTCGTGTCCTGTAGAAATTAAAGCATAGCTTCTCCCCAAAGAAATACATCTTCTGACTGCCATTTTGAAGTCAAGATATATTTAGAATATTTAGGCTGGTTTAATCTAGCAGCTTTCATAACCCAGTGTCTCTTAGCAGCAAAGAAAACAGTTTTCAAAGACAACACAACAGCACACAGGACTCAGACTCTGTGGGTTTCCCATCTTTATGCGGCTCATGCATTTTTCATTACTCCATCTTTTTTTAAGGGAGTTTCTCCACCCTTTCCTTTTCTCTCCCGAGCCTACGTACATTTTTAAACACACTGTAAACTGTTTAGAGGTTTGTTTGGTTTTTTTTACTTGACTGTCTTTACTGTATTTCTCTATCTTCTTCTAATCACAAACCAGTCGTTAATCTGCTAAGCATCGTGACTAGGGCCAAAGTGGTGGCTTTGGTGGCTGGCTCTGCCGCACTCCTTGTTTCTGAGTGCCAACCTCCATGCAGAGGCACCAGGGGGAGTCACGTAGACTGCCCAACTCGGAAGAGTTTTTGGGTCCACACTGCTCCTGAGTAGTGACCCGCCCACTGCCGATAAACCCCATTTAAGTGTTTGGTAGTAGGGCCTCTTAAAAGAACCGTTTTTTTTGGGGGGGGTGTTTTGTTTTTGTTTTCGTTTTGCTGCTAACACTGAGTCAGGAAGACATCTCTTAAAGGAGCCGTGCCTTTGCTAGCCGCCAGCAAACAGCCCACTGGAGGAAAAGAGCTTACTAAAAAGCTGAGTTTGACCCTGTTCTTATGTGTTTAGGATCCCTTTTTAAATCTTTGTCAGGTTTTCTCTGGAAATTCTTTCCGAATGTTGGACACCATACATATGTAGATGGACTATTGCTGTCCCGACCACCTGTTCCCAAATACCCAGGAGCAACTTTCAAAATAATTGACTGGGGGGGGGCTTATATTAACTGTAAATGCTCAGTCAATGGCTCAGGCTTATTACTAACTAGCTCTTACATTTCAGTCAACCCCTGTCCCTTATCTATGCTCTGCCACATGGCGGTACCATTATTAGCCTGGTGCCTTCATCTCCTGGTCCCTCTGCATCTGGCTGGTGACTCCTCCGACTCCACCTTTATTTTTCTCAGCGTCCTCTGGGTCTGTCTGCCTCTCCTGTACGACCTGCCCGGTTGCCCCGCCTGTCAGCTTCTTATTAACCAATGAGAGTAATACGTATTCACAGTGTACAGAAGGATTATTCCACGGCAGGTACCCATTGTTAGACCCATGGCATAAACCTCAGTTGCCAAACTAAACCAAGCTGTGTTTCGGGGTGCGCCTGGGACCGGCCAGTCAGCTACCTCAGGATTTCTTGAAGTTCCTCCTGGAGGAGATACAAGCCGCTCACAGGGGGAGAGAGTAGGCTGTTGCACATTTTTAGGAAAGACACGATGAAAGGGGAAGGAACAAGGGGACGGCTGTACATCACGTGATTAGGGGTTGCCTGCAGCTTACATCAGATCTCAGAAACAGGAACTTATTCTTCATTACAAACAGAAACCTCGCCTTGCAAGGACTCAACACAGGACAGACAGGAACTTGTTTTCTGTTTTTTTTTTTTTTTTATTTAGGATGAAATACAAGTCAAATGGGAACTTCTCAATTACAAATAGAAACCTTACCCTGCGAGGGCTTAACACAGGACAAACCGGAACTTATTCTTAACTGTTTTAACTGCAAACAGAACCCCTTAGCCTGCAAGTTCTATTTTCCCTGTTTTGGGCTCCCATTAACTTGCCAGGCATATGGCTCCCACTTTGGGCTCCCACCACTGAGTGGCCTACGCTGTCCTGTGAGCCCAGAGATCTGCCCGTCCCGACTCCGAGTTGCCAGAATTAGAAATGTGCACCTCCCTGCCTTGCTCCTTTACCTACATTTTACTTTGTTATGACTACTGGACGTGGGGTGCTCATGTCAGAGGACAGCTGTGTGGAGCTGGTTCCTTCACTCTGCCTTTCCCTGGGTGCCGGGGATCAAAGTCAGGGTTGGATAGCAAGCACCTGCTGAGCCATCTTCCCAACCCCTGGCTCCCCCCCCCCTTGTTTTTTTCATGTGGCTTTTGAGGACTGAACTAACTAATCAGGTCTTCACCCCTGCAAAACAACCACTTTCCCAACTGGGTCATCACCCCAGCCCGAAGGGTGATGACTCGACAGGAAGCTATTCAGAAAGTGCTTACAGAGTCACACAGGGACAGACAGACAGACAGAAAGAAAGAGCACAGTGAGATGGAGACAGAACACAAGGATTCCCTGGAAGGGAGGGGCTCCGTTGTTCTGGTGCTAGGAGCTGCGGTGTGTATTGTGGGATTGAAACCCATTAGCTCTCTTACAAGTCACAGCTTCTTAAGAGCCTGCTAGCACCTCTCTTGTCCCTAGAAGGGTGGAGGAGGTGCTCACTGGTGTGTGATGTGGATGAGGGCCAAGGGCTTTTGGGCAGAAACAGAAGCAGTGAGTTGTGAGCAATGAGCCCGAGCACGCGAACCCTCAGAACTCCACCTTCCAAGCGACCTTTGGCTTGCTGAATGCTTGCGCGGTTCAGCATCCCTGGAAGCAGGAATCTACGATTCTTCTAGGTTTTTCTGGAAGTCTGCACCTGAGGGTATGTCTGTGCACAGGTGTGCAGGAGCCCATGGAAGTCAGAAGGGGGCAGCAGATCCCCTGGAGCCAGAGTTGCAGATGGTTGTGAGCCCCCGTGTGGGTACTGGGTAAGAGCAGCCTGTGCTCTCAAGCCCCGAGCCCTCTCCCCAGCCCCTCTGTTAGCTCCTATTTGTGAAGCCTTCCACGGCCCCTGGATGCAAGCAAGTCTCAAGACATGCCACTTTCGGGTGCTGTACCAGTCACAGTTTCAGAGAAGCTAAGAGAGCGGACCTGCAGTGCTGACTGTGTGGGCTCCCTACAGGGCACCCGAGTGTGCTGGGTGCCACCCACTGCTTCTCTCGCTTATGGATGAGGCCGGGAGAGGAAGTGACCGGATGAGATCGAGGCTGTTTATGACGGATGCGTGGTCTCATATAATTCCCCAGAATTTGGCTTCAGAGACTACAAAGAAAAAAAAAACTTGTTTGAACAGAAGGAGTTTCTCTTCCTTCAATTCATGCCAGCTTAAAGCCAGACTCCACCCCTTCCTCTCCCTCCTCTGCTCTCCCAAGTGGCCAGATGGAAGGAAAGGTCAGCACTCTTATCCCAGATACCTGAACGAGGTATGTGACGTCCACATCCTGAGGCTCGCCCTCGTCAGTCCTGCCTGTAGGAACCAGCCGAGCACCATGAAGACCTGTCGTGGGCGGCTGCATCCCTGGAGTCTAGGTGTCCTGTTTTTGACTGCGTTAGCATTGCTGTTCATTGCGTCCTCCTTTGTGAAGGAGCCTAGCACAAAGCCTTCCAGGTAAGAAGGAGCCTATCCTGTGATTCCCAGACAGACTACCCAGTGGGGAGGCCTGGGGAACTCCGTGCCACCTTGAGGTCCACTTGAGGTGTTAGGGTCAGGAGTCTTTGCGGACGAAGTGCCCCCTGGAAGGAAGGCCAGGGCTGGAACTCAGAAAGGATGCAGATGGAGGTGGTGGTGGCGACCAAGGTGACTGGGGTACCAGGAAGCTTGTGCAAGAAGGCGGGCAGGAGTTGGGAATTCCGTGGACTGAGTCTGCAGAGGGCAGACAAAGCGCCAGGCAAGTTGCCCCCAAGGGCTGGTGAGTAATAGAGCCACTGAAGAAGGACTTGCTCTCACATGCCCTTCTCCTTGACCTGAGGCGAAGACTTAGCCTGTGTATTTCCTGTGTCTCAAGGGCATTCTCACCCTGACAAGTGAGTCAGGAAAATTTAAGACCTTCCACTGGAGAGGGGTGGGGGAGGAAGGGGAGTCGTTGAATCTGTGCCCCAAGCGAATCTTCCACAAGATCTTCTAGAATATTTGCCATGTTTCTAGCTGTGAGACCCTCTTTCCAGAGTCCACATTTGAAAACAATGCATTCAAGCTGGGTGGTGGTGGTGGTGGTGGTGGTGGTGGTGGCGGCGGCGACCTTGAATCCCAGCACTAGGGAGGTAGAGGCAGGTGGATCTCTTGTGAGTTCCAGGACAGCCTGGTCTACAAAGTGAGTTCCAGGACAGCCATGGCTGCTACACAGACAAAATCCTGTCTTTAAAAAAGAAAGAAAGAAAGAAAGAAAGAAAGAAAGAAAGAAAGAAAGAAAGAAAGAAAGAAAGACAGACAGACAGACAGACAGACAGACAGAAAGGAAAAAGAAAACAAAACATGCATTGTCTTCTAGAGACGAGGAAATTACACAGAAGCTGGCCTTGAGAATTGGCTCAGTGAGTGGAGAGCTCCACTGGCAGGGAGGGACAAAGCCCCAGTCTGATTCCCTGGATCAAACTAGGATGATGGCGAATCCTAGGACTTGGGAGGTAGGCGCAGAAGGATCAGGAATTCAAGTTCAGCAACATAGCAAGTTCAAGGTCAGCCTGTGCTGCAGGAGACCCAGTTTAAAAAAGAAAAAAAAATACAGAGAAATGAATCAGGAAGTAAAGGCCTCCCTGACTCTGTTACTGCTTAATACCTGGCCGTGCTCACGCACACCATCCCAGCAGACCCTTCTGCAGTGTACGTAGGCACCAGGCACTGTTCTACACGCTTCCGGTTTCTCACTGCTCGCCAGGAGGAAGGCAGACAGCTAAGGGTAGTCACTCAACTGTACACTGCCCTGCCTGTCACAGAGCTGGGGCTGAAACCCAACCATTTCCATCCCGTAACCTGAGCTTGATGCCTTGCAGGTGATGTAGCTGAGGGTGACTTTGAACTTCTGATCCTCTAGCTTCTCTACCTCCCAAGTGCTGGGATTGCAAGTGTGAGCCACCATGCTCAGGAACACTTCTTACCTGGGAAAGATTTGCCTGTCTTCCCTATGTGGTCATTAGATTGTGATATTGGGAAAGGCTGGTTCAATGCTCTCCTCCAAAACGCAAAACGTCTTCTAAGTCTCCTGCAAATGCTTCCATACCTTTGCTCACTTCAAGAATTTATTTAGAAGATATTTATTTTTATTTATTTATTTATTTATTTTTGGTTTTTCGAGACAGGGTTTCTCTGTGGCTTTGGAGGCTGTCCTGGAACTAGCTCTTGTAGACCAGGCTGGCCTCGAACTCACAGAGATCCACCTGCCTCTGCCGCCTCGAACTCACAGAGATCCACCTGCCTCTGCCTCCCAAGTGCTGGGATTAAAGGCGTGCGCCACCAACGCCCGGCTGAAGATATTTATTTTTGCTGGTGGCATGAAGATGTGTTTGTGTCTGTTGGGACTCTTGTTTGTTTGAGGCAAGGTCTCTCTGTATAGCCCTGGTCTAACTTGCTATGTAGATTAGGCTAGGCTCAGACTCGCAGAGATATGCCTGTCTCTGCTTCCCAAGTACCAGGTTTAGACACCTGTACAACTATGCCCAGCCCTATGTGATTATTTATCTATTTATTTATTTATTTTATTTTTGTCGCTTGATTGCTGTCATAGTGTCAAAGGTCATCCCTAGAATTGCACAGGGAGGTGGAGGTGGTTGGAGAACTCCAATGCTGCTAAGAGAGAAGCTTCTAGTAGGCATGGGCTGCGGGAGCACCACTCCAGGCCCCTGTACCCAGCCAATGCCACAGGCTCCCGAGTTCGTGGGTAAATAGACTGGTGCCCGTTTCTGGTCTAGAGAGTTCTGAAGGCCGAATGTGCATTGTGTAACTACTTTGTCCTGTCTCGAGTCTCCACGGCCCTGGCAACTGTGGATCAGGAGCTTAGCACTTCCTGTGTCAGGGGTCAAGAAGTGGGACTCTTATTCCCCGAAAAGCGTCTGTGGCCAATGATGTTGCTGGGAGCCATGGGAGACAGGAGCCTGGGAAAGACCCTCAGGGGGCCTCACAGCAGAGGCGCCATCCCAGGGAAACTTCAGACATTGACTGTTGAGGCCATGTCAGCAAGAGCTGGGCAGCCAACCAGCTGGCTGAACCTCGGGGCAAGCAGGGACATCTCTGTCCCAAGCCAGGTCGTGGAGTACAAGACCCAAAGAGGCTTTGAAAAGGAAAAGGGGCTAGGGAAGGGTGTGACTGACTGGTAGAGCGAGTGCCTAGCATCTATGAGACCCTGGGTTTGATTCCCAGGACAGAAAAAAGGAGGAGGGGAGGGAATAGATAGATGGATGATTGATAGACAGATAGATAGATAGATACATACATACATAGATACATATATACATAGATGATAGATAGATACATAGATAGATGATAGATAGATAGATAGATATATCATAGATAGATGATAGATAGATCATAGATAGATCATAGATAGGTAGATGATAGATAGATACAGAGATAGATACAGAGATAGATAGATAGATAGATGATAGATAAATAAATAGATAGATACATAGATGATAGATAGATACATAGATAGGTGATAGATGTTACATAGGTAGCTAGATCGAGTATAGACAGACACAGTATCTCACTATGTAACACAAGCTACCCTCAAACCATTGATCCTCCTGCCTCAGCCTCCCAAGTGCTGTGATTATAGGCACTCAAAACTAGAATGAATTTTAAAATCACCTGAAGTGACTGTGACATGAAACATGTTCAATAAACTAAATATAATTAAGTTCCGAATGATTGACAGAGGGAGCAGTTTCTGGGGAGAGAGGTCCCTGAAAAAGTCCAGATGGCCTCGGTTGAAGACTTCAAAAACTGAATGCAGTTTGGTTGAGTGGCCAGTAAACGGCCTGCAGGTAGGGAGGAGTCAACAGAGAAAGGGGGTAACCTAGAACAATCTATAGAGAATGGGGCTAACCTCGAACAACCTATCAGCCTCACTGAATCGGGAGTAGCATCCCCACTATGGAGGGCTTGCCTGGGAAGCAGGGAGGCCCTGGACAAGGGCGGGATCAGAAGACGGTGGCCATGGATATTTGGAGCTGAAAGACTACCTCTTGAGAGCAGGATTTTTGGACCCATCCAGTGTGATAATCAAGGTCAGCGGGGCAAAGGGATTACCTAAGTCGTTAATTCTGGCAATAAGTGTAGGAAGGAGAGTTCAGCCACTGAAGGAGGATCCCGGACAAGAAAGAAGTAAACCTCAAGATATGCTTTGAAGGGGTTGTGGAGGAAGTGCAAAAGGTGGGAGCGTGCGTGCAAAAAATGACCCCAAGTCTTACAGCTTGAGGGGCCACAGTGCCCCTGAGGGGCCGATGGACGGAAGCAGCAAAGTCATCGAAAGACAGCTAGCCACAGGCAAGTGGAGAGGGCCGTGCCTGTGACCCAAGCACTGGGGAGGCTGCAGTTGGAGAGCCTTGGGTGAGGTCAGCCATCGCCACACAGAACCCTGGGGATCTACAGCCAGCCGGCCACGCCTAACTCGGCAAGCTCTCAGCCAAGGAGAGACTCTGTCTCCAATAGGAAAGTAGAGGTTTCCAAGGAAGACGCCAGAGGCTGACCTCAGGTGCCCACCTGCCTGCACACACAAGCGCACATGCGCCAACACACACACACACACACACACACACACACACACACAAGACAGTTTAATAAAGTTCAAAACGATGAAAGAGAGCCATGGAAGTCTTACCTTGCTTTATGGGGGTCAATCGGTGGCAACGCCCTCTCTTATGACACACTGATTCAGAGCTGGAGTCATTCCATCAGGCGCGCCCCAGGGACCTTCTCTGTGTGGCTTTGATCTTTACAACTAACTATATGATTTTTGTTTGTTCATCTTTTCAAAGAAGATTAATATGAGATTCCCTAAAGGTCAAGGCTGGTCGCACCCAACCTGGGGCTGCAAAACATAGGGGATTTTGACCCTCGGTGCCATTCTTACTCCGCCCCTTCCTGGTGAGCTCTCAAGAGATATACAGCCCAACAGAAGGGAGCAAGACATGAGTCTGAAAGTGTGAGGTCTTTGCGTGGTGGTGCTGTTAGTGCTGAAGCAAGCTGGTCCCAGCAAGTATGGGGAGTGCCAGAGGATCATGGAGACAGCAGGGTTCCTGTGATGCCCAGAGGCCACTTCAGCAAGTGGGGGCATTGCAATCTAAGGATGCAACAAGTCAGTGTCCACTCAGGAGCGTGGGACTAGTGGGAGACCCAGTGAACCTGAACCCAAGATCTCTGGGACGTTTTAGTTTTATTCTGTTTGCGTATAAGGCGTGTGCATGGAGCTGGAGCGATGGCTCAGCAGTAAAGCACACTGGCTGCTCTTCCCGAGGACCCAGCTGCAGTTTCCAGCACCCTCACGGTGGCTCATAACCACCTGTAATTCCATGGGCTTCTAGAGAAGTCAATGCCCTCTTCTGGCTTTCCCAGATAGCAGACACACACGCGGTGCACACACATGCAGGATAAAAACACCCAAAAAGAAACGTATC